TTTTTTAATCCAAGAAACTCTTTTTCTGCCAATCCTTAGAGATGAGGTTCTTGTTGCTTGTTAGGACTAAATTTTAATTAAATTGACTCATTCCAGCTATTCTGAAGGAGGAAATTTTTATTTAATGTGCTCAGTTTTGTTGATGACTGATGGCAAAGATCTGCAATAACCAGTGGAAGGCTAATATTTACTTAAGCTTGCTGCATTCATTTTTACAGTGACAACAATAGTATTTCAGTTATAAACATACTTCCTCTTCACTCTAAAGGAAAAGTCATCGCCTCTCTATGAAAGATTTCTTTTTAACGTCAGAGCATTGGTTGCATATTGTTTTTGTTAATAATATATTTTTTTCCTTCCCTTTATCTTACAATCCTTCTTTCCTTTACGAATAAGAATTTCATTTTACAAGCACATACAGCATCTAGGTTTTCAGTGGGGTGAAGTTTGTTTGACCACAATTATATTGCCACATGTGAAAGGCAGATACTGTTACCGACACTGAGGTGAAATCAGAAATCCCATAAAAGCAGGCCTGTGCCAAAAAAGAAAAGGAATCACCTTTGTACTTAGCACTGAGGTCAGAAATGCTGAGAATTATAAAGAGAACACCACAATGCTGGCAGAAGCAGGGCAGAACAGCAACTGAAAGGTCAACTTACATTAAGAATGACGTTGCTATCAGGTATGAGCCACATTACGTAGACAAGTTTAACTTTATTGTGTCTTATATGAAATTTGAGAACAGCGTTAATTACAGATTTAACTCAGTCTTGGGCAGTGCCACAGAATGCAGAAAATACCATGCATTCCATTTTATCTATTTTTTCTAGAATTTTATGTAAAATTTAATCAGGGTTCATGTCACGATTTTAGCTGAAATACAGTCAGTTTTCTTCACAGAGTGCTGCTGCTGCTTGGACTTTTGATGAAAACAACATTGTTAACATAAAGATGTTTCAATTGTTGCTGAGCAGTGCTGTACCCGGGCAAGGACTTTTCAGCTTCTCACTCTGCCTTGGCAGAGTGGAGCTAAGCCTGCACGAGGAGATGGGAGGAGACAGAACCAGGAAAGCTGACTCAAACTGGCCACAGGGATATGTCATATGAAATGTCATCATGATGAATTGTAACAGTGAGGTAAAGATGAAGGAATGGTGGGGTGCTCGGAGAGATGATGTTTGTATTCTCAATGAACAGTTAGATGTGGTGAGCTCTGTTTTCCTATACATGGCTGAATACCTGCCAGCCAATGGGAAGCAGTGAATGAATTTCTTCTTCTTCTTTGCTTGTGCATGCAGCTTTTGTTTTATCAAAGCTGTCCTTAACTCATGAGTTCTCTCAATTATACCTTTCCAGTTCTCTCCCCCGCCCCATGTGAGGAAAGGGAGTGAGCAGCTATGGGGTGCTGAGCTTCTGCTGGGGTAAAGCACAGCAGTGTGAAGATCAATAATGCCCAAATATAAAATAAGATCCAGATAAAATTAAAACTTCAAAAACAAAATTGAGTTATGAAATGGACTGTTAATCCACAGATGGAAAAAATTAACTGGATTAAATCGTAACTAAAATGGAGCTGACATAATCACTCCTATTCCTTTTTCTTTGGAAGAACAGTATACACAACTCTGCTCTTCAACAAGTAGAATAAGTATATAAATTCTGCTTCTGGAGCATAATTTAAGTGATTATTTTGTTTGCATGATGGACAAAATATTACTTGTGTTAGTCTACTGTGCTACATAAGTCTACTCACTTTTTCAAACAATACAGTTTGCACAAGTGAGACCTAGGCTATTTTATGCTATGAAATACTGCCATCTTATGTCTATTCCAAAGCATGGTCTTAAGAGAGCTGTAGTAGCTTTCTTAAGCCAGAAATTGAGAGATCAATTACATCAATAAGACTAGCACTGATTTCAGTTCATAACTCAAGTTGGAATACATTACAGAGAAAATGATATAAAAGTATTAGTCCACAAATCTAGAGTCTCACTTCTCTTTTCTTTAGTAGGACTAGAATTAAGGACCATTATTTTGATACCTAGCATGTAGGGTTTGGACTCAATCTCTTGAAGTCCCTTACAAACCCAGCGATTCTAGGATTCTGCAATTACAGGTACTTAGTGGATAGCCACATATTCAAAGAGGTAATATGGAACATGTACAGAACAGCAAGCTAACACCTGTTAGCAGAAAATCTGAACACAGTCAATATAAGGAGCAACATTTACTTAAAAACTAAAATGCTAGAAGAAATATGAATGCAGATACTGTGTTTTCCCAGACAGCTTTATCTGACATAAATGCACCTCTTTCTCCAAAGAGAAAGAAACAAAACGGAACAAAAAATTCCGGGACTGCTTAAAAAAAAAAAATCTTCACATAATCAGAACAACAGGCTGTAGGTTTTTCAACCAGTATTAAATTGTATTTATTTATTTATTTTTAAATACAGACGAGTATGGGCGGACTGCTCAGTGGATGAAGAACTGGCTGCAGGATTGAGTCCAGAGAGTGGTGGTCAGTGGCTCAATGTTTGGATGGAGATCAATGACAAGTAGTGTCTCCCAGGGGTCAGTGCTGGGGCTGATACTTTTTAATGTCTTCATCAGTGACATTGAAGGTGGGGTCAAATTCACCCTCAGCAAGTTTGCTGATGACAGCAAGCTGTGGGGTGTGGTTTACACACGAGAAGGTGTCTAAGTCCAAAGGGACCTAGAGGGACCTATACAGACTTTAGCAGTGGGCCCAGGTTAACTTCATGTGATTCACTAAATCTGAGTGTAAGGTCTTGCGTCTGGGTTGAGGCAATCACCAATGCAAGCTGAGAGAGGAAAGAATTGAGTGCAGTCCTGACAAAAAAGACCTGAGGATACATCTTCACTGTAGATATCACAGAAAATTTTTATACGCATACTTCCAAAATGGCTAAATCAAATACATATCCATAGTGTACTTTGGACAGTTGAAAACTGAAATTCCCTCCAAATCTCAGGATTCTACATTTCCTTCTACAATTTGTGCTGCTATGAAGAACTAATGCTGTTTTCAGAGTGATATTTGTTTTTGAAATAGCATTCTATGAATTGAGTGCTGTTAGAAGAGATCCACTGTTCTGTAAATTCTGAAGTGAATGAACTGCCAAAGAAATAGAACTAAAAAAACTCGTTCACATGCAGGAATACAACAACAACAACAAAGAAATAGGAGAAACAGGGTTCTCAGGAGCAATATGCTTAGCATTTTGTTATGAGTGAAAAAATTCTATCAACATGGCATAGAACAGCCTGAAGATTTTGCTCTAACAAGATCAGATGTTCCTTAGCGTAAAGGTATTAAAAAAAACTTTGAAAGATAGTGGTTCATATTAATATATATTCAATATATTGAAGAGCTATCATTAGAAAGGACTTGTAACAAAATCCTGCTTGACTAAACAAAATAAGCAATCACCACTTGAAAATAAAAGTTTTAGCATATCAATTGTTGAAAAAAAATGCCTCAGCTACAGTGAGACATGCTAGAATATAGAAACAAAGAAAAAAACAGTATTACTTTTAAAAATATGCTATTCAGTGTGGCAAGAAGCATGGTTTGCAGGGAAAAGATAGGAAGAGATAGGAAGATGTATAATTCCCCACACATACACATTAATATAAAAGTGAATCACCACAAATGCTAAATAAGAATAAACAGAGCAGCAACTGTGTAATGAAAACATTTCCTGGAGTAGGATTAAAGGAAATGGATGTACTTTTACACAACTACATCAAACAATGGGGAGGTGTATTTGGCAAAATTCCTGCCATTAAAACACAACAACACAACAAGGACATTTCTGAGCAGTCAGACACAAGAATGGAAAGTTGACTCAATAAAGGAATCTGTACCATCTGTTATATTCCAACCAACATGTTATTTTAACCACATGCTACAAGTTGGGATGAATTCAAAGAAATATTTATAAAATCTAAAGCGATCCAAAAATAACAATTAAAAAAAAAAGTATAGAAGTTTACAATAAGTTCCTAAGACTAATTCACTGTCTGCAGATGAGCTATTTCTTGGTGGCAAAAAAATAAGTACATTAAAAGACAAATCACAGCTAATGAGAAAG